ATTTTGGAATCAAATTCGGAAGTAAATTTACTGCAAGGTTTTTCTCCTTCTGAAAGCTTCCAGCTGCTTTTCCAGTCCTCTGGCTCCTACAGCTGTGCCCCACAGTGCTCTTTATGTGGTTCAACAAGTACCATGAGGCTGCTTCCTGAAGATCTGGAGTATCTGCATCTGGATTCTGCTGGGAGCCTGCTCCACCACTGCCTGGGTGATCCCACTTGTCTGTGTTGGGTGAATAATCTGCAGCAGCAGCAGCAGCTCGGGCTTGCTGATAAGAGCTTTACATAGAAATGAGGCAAGAGAAGGTTGGGATGCACAGGTCTATTCTCTCCACTTGGTTTTTAATAGGAAACACGGGGGGAAGCAGGGAGGCAAGGCTGTGCTGATGGATGAAGCAGTGTCACAGGGCAGAGGGCACAAAACTCTCCATATTTTTATGTGCTTTACACAGCTGGGGCAAAGCAAGCCTGGTGGAACAGATTCTTCCTTGATAGGAAGAAATAGGGTGGGGTAACACAGGTGGGATAAAACCTGGGGAGGGATAGGAGGAGAGTGCCAGGGATGGGAAATCAGAGGTGTGAAGCTCATGAAGCATCCCCAGTGTCTCTTGCATGCATGGAGGTGGGCACTCTGGGGGGCTGGGAGGGGGATTTCACAGAAAATTTGGGACTGCAAAGCATGACAACAACGTGATGCCTCTTGCAGAGGGATCAGGAGGGTCTGCTGTGAAAGGGCAGCTCCTCATTCAGCTGAGGAGTTCGTGTGGCCAGAAGGAGATACCTGAACAGGTTGAGAGGTGATGAAAAAAACAAACTCCTGGTGCAGAATGGGCTACCAGAGCCTACAGAAAGACAGAAACAGGGTGGAAGAGCAGCCCTGTCTGCAGCAGGTGTGTGCCCTCCTCTGAGAAGATTGTGTCCCTCAGCAAAAACACATCTGTGTTTCTGCCAGGGTGATAAACTGAGCCAGCTCCCAGCAAGGTTCAGCTAGCAGAGGAAAAGCTGGGGGCAGGGAGAGGAAGACCCTGGTGTTTTGGCTGGGAGAGCAGCTCAGGCACCATGAGTGACCTCTTCCAGCTCCCAGCTGAACGCTGGCAGCCCTGGCCCTGTGTGTTGCTCCATGGAGCAGCTTCCAATTCAGTTATAAAATAACCCAGATTGACCCCTGCTCCTGTGTCCACCTCCTCCAGGAACACAATCACACAATCACCTGCCCTTCAGCCTCTGGCTTTCCAGCCCCCTGTGATTAATTTTATTTCCTCCAGGCTGGTGTGGCAGTGGAGGCTCTCCCAGAGGAGAAGGAAAGCAGAGGGAGTTCTGCAGAAGCTGCTCCCAACTTCTGTGTCCACCACACCCCTGGCATGCACGGAGCCAGGGAAGGATCTCCTCCTCATCCACCACTGGGGTGGTGTAAGCAGGCAGACAAATGTTCATGTTTGAGAGCAGGGAGTTAATCACATCTGCCAAATCCATCTTGGTAAACAAGCTTAAGCTTTACCTGGAATGATAAATGCTCATTTTTCCATTTGGAAACGCTGCTGTTTTCTTTCATTTACACTTTCTGTGTCCTTTGAACACTTTTGGGGTTATTGTTGGTTTCTGGCCAGGCACCGAGAGAGAACAATGAAAATTTGTGCAAAAGCTTTTTCTTCTGAATGCTGGAGGTGTGAGCTGCATCCCTCTGAGCCACCTATGTCCACTCTGACATCAGGGAGATGGATGCTCAGGGATCCCTCAGAGCCCTCCCCGTGGCCACAGCTTTTCCTCATCAGCTTCATCCTGAAACTGAGCCCTGGTCCGAGTACTTCTGCCACAAAACACTGTGGGGAGAGATGCACTGGCTGTGAGGGAGAAAGAAGCTCCAATCCATGAATCTTTAGGGAAAGTTTCACTGCAGCAGAAGGTGTGGCAAGTTAGGAACCCGCTCAGGGCTGAGAAGGTCACCTCAGGGGATGGGAAGAAACCCCACGCTGCTCTCTCACACCAGGCTCTGCTCTCCCAGCACATTTAACCCCAGATCTCCAGCTGGGATGAGAGGCTGGGTTTCATGTTAACAGGCTTTAATTGTGTGGGGAATCTGCTGCTTCCCCAGGTGTTGGGTTACTGCCTGTCCTCTAAAAGCAG